TTCACTTCGCCTACAGCAGCGCCTGTGACTCCACCACAACCTACTACACCTGCAGAGCTGCACAGTGTGGGCAGGGAGAGGTTAAACCTGGTCTTTCTTCTCTGAGCCAACACCCACCGTCTATTTGTGCTGAGTGCAGACTTCCACAGACAGGAGGGGAGGGAGGGTAAGGAGCAGGAGGAGGAAGGGAGGCTCACAGTGAAGGACGAGCAGATATCTGAGCAGCACCAGCAGCTCCAGTGTCCCTCACAAAAGAGCAGACACGGTTCTTAGGTCCAGACAGGCGGGTTTTGAGGAGGAAGGAGCCAGAAAACAGCCCCACAGGCAGCCACTGGGCAGGAGGCGGTTCAGGGTTGTAAAGCAGACAGAGGAGGAACATTCAGTGACCTGGGCATGGCAGGGTGGAGCAGCAGATAATGGACCAGAGCAGCCGCTGGGTTATTGTGCGCTCCTGTTCAGCGACTTTTCCTTTCACAGCGACGGCGGCTTTAATGTTCACAACAGGTTAATCATCGTCTATCAGACTCCAGCAGAACGTACTGTTTAATGCTGGGACTACGTTCTGTAAAAATACAGGAAAACAGCATAGAACTGAGTTTCTACAGGGTTCTGCCAACAGTTAGTCACCGTCTGACTCATGACGGCGCTCCACTGAACACCACCGGGTTCACTGATCAACACATCCACTAACAAGCTGCCTTCATCCTGTGGTCGGGTTAGTCAGCATTAACTGTGTACCGCTATTAAACAGCACCGTGAGTTATAACGTAGAAAAGCTTCTTTTATGATCCAGAACTCAGATCTACCGACTCTGTTTGACATTTAAAAACTGCATGTAGCACGAAAAACACCTAAAACGAAGAAGAAAAGGAAGAAGACGAGTTCTACGTCTGTGTATCGGGCTGCAGCGTATGGCTGACTGGAGTCTGTTCAGGAGTTTAGAGATTTAATTTAATGTAAATAAAGACTTCAGGGCATCAGTTTGAAGCTCGCGCTAGCATTCTGAGCTTCCTGTTCTTCTTACAGCAGCCTGTTGTTTTTGCTGATTCCTGTGTTTGGCTGCAAAAACACATCAGGTAGTATTTTGGAGAAACTGTTTACTAGAACTTTATTTTTAGAGTAATTTACTATCTGCTGTTTGGACTTTTGTTCTTAACAAAAGATGCAGACAGTCTGGAGGACCATGAAACCAGATGCTGCTGAGAGAGGACCGATGATATATTAGTGGGATTCTTTAAGTTCATTACAAGAATCGTAAACAGACCCAACATTCAGACGGAACCGACTCAGACCTCTGCTTCCATCTGGGCTAATGGTCAGCGTAATTACAAGCTCCATCATGTCGCTATTACATGGTTGGGGCGACCTCACATAAGCTCGGGGTTGACTTGATGATTATTTGGGTGAGTGACGTGGGTGGCAGCAGGCAGGGAGAGGCTGAAGGGTGGGATGCAGCCATCCAGAGCCGACCGACCGACCGACCGACCCAGCCCAGACGTTAATCCCAGACTTGTGACAGCGAAATGGCGAGGCTTATCAACTTCAGCAGTCTGTGGATGTTCCCACAGATGGGGGGGAATAAAAAAAACAGCCCTAAGCTCTCTGAAAAGCCGGAGGCAGGAGGGGGGTCTGCACGCCGTGATCTTCATCCTGCTCCACGAGTTCAGACACAACCAGGATGAGCACACGGCTGCAACAAGGCGTGACGCAGCAGCAGGCGGCAGGCCGGCGTCCCACCACAGCGCCACATTCCTCACGCTGGCTCTGAGGGCGCTGCTGAGGAGTTCCCACATTTGTTGTTGCTCTTTGTGTTTCTAAACGTTTTCCTCAGAAGGTTGTCATTAACTCTACGGAAGACCACAGGTGTCACATAAATAAAGGCGCCGCATCGTGATTTATTGATTCTTCTAGGTAGGAATTCAATCCTGAATGATGCAGTCGTGTCTTGTTTGGTGTGGTTTAAAAATACATGAAATCATGTCTTCATTTGATTGTGTGTTTGTTTGGACATTTTTATTGCACAACACTGGTTTTTTTCTCTATAACTTTTCAAGCATAATAACAAGTTATATAACTTCTATGTAGATTCTTACAAATATCCACCCTGTCATGTTTGTTCAAGCAGAAATTGGACATAATCGATTATTTTCCTTATTTTTTAAATCTTTATCCAACTTTTATACGTCTTGTGTCTCTAACCTGATTCATTTTTTTTCTGTAGCTGCTGTACAAAGTGAAAAAATATAAGAATCCTTTAGATGTATTTTAAAATCTCCTACAGGGATATTTATGAACTGATTTGTGAATTTAGCCGTAACCTTTGCTGCATGTGCTTTCTGTAGATTTAACATTAATTAATGGATTGCTTCATAAATAATTGCGACACCTCTGATCCTCCATATGTCACATCCTGTCCACGTCCATTCAGTAAAGATTAAAAGCAAAAAGACAAACTATGATTCACTTTCCAGCAGCAGCCCTTTGTGTGCTCATTGTCAGAGATGGGAGGAGACGCGTTCTAACGCAGGGATGATGTTCTCCAGGCAGAGCAGCGACGGAGAAGAAAAGACAGAAAAAGACATATTGTTCCCTGAGAAGTGATTTTGTGCCTCAAGCTAAACTCTGAGTGGAAGTCATATGTGGAGAAAAGTGCTCTGTGGGAAGCAGAACATTCTTCAGAAGATTCCTGGCAGACAAAAATATTGCAGAAAATGAGGAATAGGAGGCGCACACATGCGTATCGGATTTCCATAAACAAACATTCAGCTTCCTGAGACTCCGTAAAGTTCTGCAAAACTTTTCTCGGCTGTGCAGCCTGAGGAGGAGGATGAGAGGGAAGCTTCCTCTCACTGTTTTAAGGCTGGACTCAGTTTTCCAGCACAGATCTACGTAAATAAGCTCAGAGTGACAAACCGGTTCCGAGCGTTTGTGAAGAGACATGAAGCTGGTTGTGTCCACATTAAAAACAGGATGCAAATAAACAAGCTAAGCAGAGTTCCTGGATCGGTGTCATGAGTGCACAACACACTCATGGACTTTACTGCCAACACAAACACATGATCTGAAATAGCTGCTGACAGCACTGAGGCGGAATTCTGCGATAAGAGGCAGATTCACTGACGCACGGTTCGGTACTGAGTGTCCACAACTTACCGACCAAGACGCACAGCACATCCATCACCACGAACAGCTTCTTCTTCCTCAGATCCTTCATTTTGTCCTCTTCTTCTTCCTCTTCTCCGTTCACTTCCTTCCTTTTACAATAATAATAAAACTCTGGACAGAAGTTCTACTGGTTGGACTCAGAGTCCATCTGCGGCGGCTCGCTGCGGGACAAACGCGCAGGCTGCTATGCAAACAAGCTGGTAACCTGCACAACGAGTTCTTCCGGGATCCTCGGCTCTACCTGCGCTCACATTGACAGCAGAGGTGTGTTTGAAAGTTTGTCAAACCGACAGCGGATCAGAACCTACGCGCCTCTAACGTCCTCAGCGCACATTACTGCTGCTGGTACAGAGAGAAGAGCCGGACTGCACAGATCCTCCGGTTCCGTAGCAGCTGCAGGCGTCAGGAGAATCCAGTAGAAACTCCTTTTTTTTTTTCCTGTGCTGGGACCACGCCACTGCCGCTGGTCCCTCCTCCAGACTTCCTCGTCTGGCTCCTCTCTGATCACATCACCGCCAGGCTCGAAGCTTTACGCACAGAAAGCTCTCCGCGGCTGGCTCCATGTTTCTGTCCGTGACTGCGCACATTAACTCTTTATTTTAATGTCAGCTGAGTGGAGGAGAGCCGAGCAGAGTGAGGATCAAAGCAGGAGGAGGGAAGCCACAAATACCTCTGAGGAGGAAAGACAGAGAAGGAAGAAGAAGAAGAAGAAAATGACACCGTGTGTCTCCGGTCCAGGAGGCTGCGCTGTCAGGAACATTGTTTGTTTGTTTGTTTGTTTATTTGTTTACAACCTACTATGTTGGTTAAAGCTAAAATATTTTCCCAGATATCACCATCTGTTCAAGCATGTAAAGACAGAAAGGTGTATTCCAAACAAAAAGTGCTTTCTTCTTCTTTTTTAAAGGTTCATTCCATCAAAAACACGAAGTTTATTCCAACTAAAGATAACAAGTTGTTGTTTTAAAAGTTAATTCCATAAAAATGATGGTTTATTCCACCTTAAAAACGACTTTCTAGCTAACAAACTACGGTCTTAAAGGTTCATTCCATCAAAAATAGTACTTCATATACAAATACTAGTCATTTTAAAGGTTCATTCCACCAGAAATGGTCCTTTCTACCTCACATGATGTGGTTTTGTAGGTTATTTCCATCAAGAATACCTCTTTATGTACAAATATTTGGAGTTTGAAAGGGTTATTCCACCAGAGTCGTACTTTCCATCTAATAAGTTCCGGTTTTAAAGGGTAATTCCATAAAGAAATACTTCTTTATGTACAAATATTTGTAGTTTCAGAGGTTTGTTTGACCCAAATAATACTTTCTAACTAACAAGTTGTGGTTTTAGAGGCTATTTTAATCAAAATTATTACTTATGTACAAATATTTGTAGTTTCAGAGGTTTGTTCAACTCAGTCATTTTTCTGCAGCACTAACTTTGTTGCTTAGAGTTGCACATTTAGCAGACTGTGTCATTAGCATAATTAGGTCATTATGAGGTGACATAACAGTGTCATCAGAGCTGTAGTTTTAAAGGATTGTTCCACCCAGACACTGCTTTCTTTCCTTACATCAAAACCTGCTCCTCCCTGAGTTATCCAGTTCAGTAGGTGGCGCTGTTGAGAAGAACAAGGTCCAGATAACTTCTGCTTCATCCTGACACAAATGACTGGGCCTGCTCTTGACATCATCACTAAATAATGTTGTTTTCATACATAACACGGCTTCACTCTTGAACATTTAAATAAAAAGGCTGAAGGTTGAGCTGAGGATCATGTTTGCTCCTGTTTCTAGGTGGAGCTCTGCTCAATGCGACACAACAAACTCACAGCTCAGATCTCCTGAGAACTTCTCCTCACTCCATTATTCTCTCACATATGAGCAGGATTTACATAAAGCTGATTTAGAAGCAGACAGCGTGTCCGTCAGGCCCACACGTTAGTCAGTCCCTGAATGCCACTCGGAGGTGGACACTAAACGCACCTGGTGGGTGTTTGAAAGAACACGGAAGACAACATTTCCATCCTAACAAAAGCAGGGAGACTTTTATAAGGCCTGCTGGCAGTAAAGCTACATTAGCATGGATTAGCACCAGCATGACTCCGGCCCCGGTGCTGTTTGCCCCAGGCAGTCAGGATTTCCCCCTCCAGGAGGCGATGCAAGGCCACGCCTCGCTGGCTGCATCCAGCCGTGTGTGTACTGCTTTAGAGTCATGAGTGTGTATTAACTGTTAACTCTGTTTGCCTGACAAACACCATGTTTACCCCCAAGTATATTAGTTCAGCTCCCTCGACTTAAGTAGATAATCTTACGTGCACACGCTCTGAACAGCAGCGCTGTTTGACTTTTTGCACATTTGCAAACAGTCGAGTTAAAAGCGCTGAAATCAGATGTGTGGAGCTGCCAATTAAAACTTCACAGTATGGAAATGAAACGTCAGGAACACACAGAAGGATGTGAGGGAACGGTACCAGGAGTACGTTTAAAGCTGAGGCTTCTCTGCCCCCTTCTGGCTGCTTTTCAACGTCCAGCAAAACAACAGAAGTTTGATCTTCTCACTACTGATATGTTCTTAATTTATTACACTGAGGAGGATTCAGACGAACAGATTTATTCTGATGTTCTGCAGACAAGAGCTTCACAAACATGTCTTCATGAGGGAACGCCGGATTTTCAGAAGTGTTCCTTTAATCTCTAAACTAACTTAATGTTAACACTTAAAATGTTTTTAATATCATAAACTATTTAAAATGACCTGTGTGAAAGTTCAGTTTGACATATTAAGTATATATACATTAAAAATTGATGTTATGTTTGGATGACGATATCTCAGGACATGTTAAAGATAAATTAGTTTAGATGAATCTGCTGTTTTAAACAAGTAGACAAAATAAAACTGAAGTCTTTGAGCTCACGTTAACAGAAAGGCTGAAAACACAGAAGTTAACTCGTGATGTTTTCTGAACCGTGTGGCTGCAGGTCACTATCATACAGAACTAAACACACAGAACGCTTTCTAATAAATCAGCTCATCATCAAGCTCTGCAGAAGCCTGATAACGATCCTGATCATTTGAATCAGGTGCGTTGGAAGAAGGAAACATCTAGAACATGCAGGACCGTGGCCCTGGAGGACCAGGACTGGACCCCCCTGGTTTAGATGTTAGATGTTGTGAAGATCCAGGCTGCTGAGCGTGAAACACGAGGCCACAGCTTTAGTTTTATCCTGCCAACAAAAACTGCTGTCTTGAAATATTAAGTTTTGTTTAACAGTTTAAAAACGGTGTTTCTGCTTTTGTCCGGTGACCTTTGGTGACCTTTGGTGACCTTTGGTGACCTTTGCCATCAGATTGCAGGTTATCGTGAAGCTTTGACATTTAATGCTTTAGTGAGCTGGTGCCTGGTTAAAACCTTCAATCTGAGCTCCTGTTCTGTCCATACATGCTTCAACATTCATCTAAGCTTTGAGCTAATGAAGACGCAGCCGTTGGTCTCACCACTAAACCTGTACGACTCTCAGGAGGCTCACCTGCTGGATCCCATGTGTTACTCTGAAGTGGAGACAACATCTGCTTCCCTTCATTCGTTCATTACTGTACAGTTAGTCTGGTAGAAGCGTGTCGTGTTTGTTCACCTTGTTCAGCTGTGCTCCCAGATTACAGCGCAGCTCCTAATCAGTCAGAGGCAGCGGCTCTGCAGAGCAGGAGGCCCCATGAGATAAACTATCAGTCACACTGACGTCACAGGAAGGCTTTTCCTGCTGCCTGCTGGACTCTGCACACGCTCCTCGTTTCTTCATGTCACTCTGACATTTAAAAACAGGCTCTAATGCAGCTGGATCTCTGCATTCAAGCCTCTTCTCCTCATCGTCTGTGTCTGACACATGAATCAATGCAGCAGCACACTGAGCTGTGAGGATGTATGTTGTGTGATACGTTTTACTGTCTCGTTCCTTCATGGATCAACTCACATGTTTACTTTGTTTTAGGAATATGAAGTGAAAAATACTTTATTTATCCCAGAAGGGAAATTCAATATATATAATTCAATATCTTGAGGTGATATGAAACTAGATTACTCTGAGATTATCACAAACACTGAGCGGTTAGCTGAGCGTGGACACGATGAACACGATGTACAGACGTCCTCACATGTGTTCATCTGCTTCTATCAGAGAAAAGGCAAAATCCACAACAGTCACTGAAACAACCAGAAACTGGAAAAAGTAATAACAAATAAAAAATTGTTAAATTATAATTTAGTGAAATAAGACGCTGCTTTGAATTGTGGTTGGAAAGAATAAATAATAAAAAATCTGTCCTGGACCAATGAGAGGCCTTTGCTGATGAGCAGCGGACCAATGAGAGGCCTTTGCTGATGAGCAGCGGACCAATGAGAGGCCTTTGCTGATGAGCAGTGGACCAGAACACCTGTCAACAGGTGCAGAAGTCTGACTGAGAGTTACAGAAACACCTGATGGCAGTGATTGGCTCAGAGGGCTGTTCAGCTACATGTTAGTTCACAGCTCCATCAGGCTGGTTTGATTGGTTTTATTTGTTTTTTTCAGTATTTCTGTTGAACCACAGTTCAAAGCAACGTCATGATTTTTTATTTATTACTACTTTTGTCCATTTCAGCTGATTCCAGTGACTGAAGCTGCTGTTTCCTTCTTTAATGGGAGGCTGTGAACACATCTGAGGACGGCTGTATTGTTTTCACATGATTTTGTATTTGTTGAGTGTGTTTTTTTTTCTTTTTTCTTCTTGTCTCTTACTAAATGTAAATAAGATAATTAATAGTATAAAATATTGAATAACACAGACTAAATTGTGGCATAAAAAGACCTCAGATTGATTTGGAGCTCTGTAGATTTTATATTGTTTTGTTTTTTCTCTGAAGACAAAACCTGAAAGGAGAAATGTTTACAGCTACCTGTCACCTCTGCAAGCATATATATAGATACACATATATACATATATAGATACACATATATACATATATATAGATACACATATATACATATATATAGATACACATATATACATATATATAGATACACATATATTCATATATATAGATACACATATATTCATATATACAGATACACATATATACATATATAGAGGGTTTTGCCTGTTATGTGTTAAGTCAATGTCTATATGCTGCCTTTTCTCCTGAAACTTTTCTCTTTTTTACAGCTTTGCATTAAATACGACCGTCCTGGAGGTGAAGCACTAAACCTGTGGATCCTCTCCCCTCAGCCTGCTCCTGGTCCTCTGCTATACAAGCTCTTATAGATCTGATATTTATAGACCAGCCAAATGTTGTATTTGTGTGAACTTTCCTTGCATCAACATGCAAAGAAAACACCTCACCTACAGTGATCAGCTGGTCTGCTGTGCACTGAAATGTGTTTGATGCTCGTTTAGTCGACACCTGAATGCACCATGTACTGATCCTGAGTGTCTGAAAGGGCCTTTGGCTGTCATACAGAAGGTTTTTAAAATGTTCCTCCCGATATAGAAGGCATCTAATAAATACTTTCCCATTTTCATTGATCCTGTGCAGCGAATGCAGCTTTACATTCTGCAGAGTGCATTGTCTGCACAGAGGGCAAAATATCAGCTGATAAAACCTACAGTTACACACCTGGTCACTGCTGCCTGACCTGCACCAGGAGGCCACTAGAGGGCACCAGAGAGCCAGACAGCAGGAGGATGAGAAGGTGGATTAGGACAGAAGGGTTGACAGGAGCTGAGTGAGAACAGAGATGTGATCCAACTAGAGTTCCTTCATTCTCAGCAGACCTGGTTTTGTATTAATGATCCCTTTGCTTGTGAAATCCACTCGCTTGGCTGGTAGTTGATCCCCAGACATGTGAGATGTTGCAA